TACACCCGTCAGGATAATACGTCACCTTGACTGTAGAGCTTCGTTTTCATGATTATAAGAAGTTGGGATTTGACTTATGTCACATACATGAAAACGAAGCTCTATGGCCAAAATGACATACTATCCGGACGGGTGTATTACGCAATACTATGATGGGGTAACTGGGGTCATGAGTGATAATTGTGTAGTGAGCAAAAAATTACTACCAAGCCCTCAATCTGACAATTATTGCGTAAATTTCTTCGTTGTTTTCCACCAAGTTTCCTGCGGTAGATGCTACAGGTATTCCAGTGAGGCACACCGCCTGCATTTAATGCACTTCTGTACATACAGTAGATAGTAGTCTATGTGATCTTTCATGAATATGAAATAAATGAAAACACTAGTACTAGTTATTTGGACAAGTTATATTAGGCTTGCAGATCGCTAGTCAATTCACATTCAGCGTGCACAACGGAAATACTCGAATGAGCAGTCCAACGGAGCTGTGACCAAAGTTTGTGTTATCAGGGAGTTTTAAGTTTCACTTGATACATCAAAAAGCAACTGCTTGACAAAGAGAAATTTTGTGTTGCACGGAAATAATCAGATAAAATGGACTAGTCGAGTTCAAACCGAAATGCAAAATTACGCTTCTGACATAAGAAAAAAGATATGAAGAACGAAGGGAAAGAAAATTGTGCAAGAAAAATCTGGTTCTCCCTCAGGGGCGTAGGAACCGAGGGGTCCAGGCCCTCCCACGTTTTGCCAAATACCCTTTTTCCGGGAGCAAAGTGCCCTTTTCTTGCGTGAAAAATGTCTTAAGGATTGCCTTTTTTTGCCCAAAGGGCACTTTTGAAAACTTGAATTTATGTTATTTTCCGGAAAATTTTTTTCATTTCCAAGAAAAATTTGAAATATGCGGAAAATTTTTTGGATAATCTGGAAAAACTTTTTCATATTTAGGAAAAAATGTGATATATGCGGAAACATTTTTTTGGTATGTCCGGAAAAAATTTTTGAGACTTGGCCCCCCCCCCCCCCGTCGCCAACTTTTCCGGGAAAAAGTTTTTAGATGCCCTTTTTTATTGGGAAAGTGCCCCTTAAAGCCTGCCCCCCCCCCAACTTTTAGAAGCTTCCTACGCCCCTGTTCTCCCTTCTGCCATTGCTTGGGTCACGTCCACACGGGGCAGGACGAATTTGGAACCGTGCTCAAGTTTACACGATTGTGCCTTTCACGTTCTCGCGAGATGTACGAAACCGGACGAATGAGTGATTCCAGCTATACTATAGACTAAATTTTGATCAAGGCAAGAAGACTGAAATCTAATACCACCGCAATAGAAAGAACGTCTTAGATTGAGTAAAAAATTATTCACTCAAAAATGGTTATTTTTCCTGCGCGTAATGCAAATATATGCAAAATTTGCGAACTTCGCAGACACAGGGCTATATTTTCCTCATTTTATAACAATTCGCAACCAAACTTTGCAATTTTACTCATTTTAAGACGCTCTTAACAGCTATGGTAATAGTTTCGTTCTTCTTCAAGATCAAAATTTCGTCTATAGCTGGAATCATATGAATAACTAGAACCAGATGAATATTCATACAATTCCGAATTCGTCTGATCTCGTGTGAATGTAGGAGGCTCTTCAGAGGAGGCCTTTGGGGGTATCAACTGCAAAACAATTTTCTCGATTCTTGGTCTCTGAAACGCATTTTCTGCATATTCTGACATTATAAAATATATAGTTTAAGAATATTAGCCAAGAATACAGTCGCTACAAGGATCAATCAATCAATCGCGAACCAGGCTTTGAACCACCGGTTCCAGTTACAATAACCGCGGAAGTAATTATCTGAGACTGAGTCTTCCACAGTGACTCAACTAGTCGCATCATGCATGTATGAGCACTGATTTATGAGTTCAGACGTACACTAAATAAATATATACAAATATGTCTTGATAAATCAGTCACTGACAAGATCTTGGGGCTTAAGGCTGTCAGATAATGGTGCAGATCAAGAAGATATTTGGACATGCTGATGCATGCGTTATTTGCAGGGTTTTTATAATCCATTGTTCCACATAATTCAACCTTCTTTTCTTATAACTAGACAAGAACGTACTAAACTGGCTTTAAGCCCCGTACAGACTGAGAAAATTTTCTTTCACAAATCTCCTTGACAAGTTTACTTTCTCGAGTGTACGGTCAACAAGTTTTACCTGTTTTTGTAAGTTTTTTGTTGCTCGTGTGCACGCAATGTTGTCGTAAACATTTATCTCATGTCAAGGCCGCTTTTTGTTTGCCAAGACCGTGAGAAGTATTTCTTGTCTTTTTTGTACAGCTGTCAAGTTTGGGCTTGGCGGCCGTACACTCAACATACACGAACAAATGTTCCTAATTGTCCAATAGCTGGCATGACTAACTTTGGAACAAGGCTCCAGTCAGCGGGCAAGGAAAAATTGTTAATTTTTTGCCGCCTTATGAAGGAAAACTATTTGCCAAGGAAACATTTTCCGTCTGTACAGGGCTTTAATACTCACAGTAAAGAAAACGTCGACGACATTCGAGTGAAGGCTTTAGTTCTGGAAGTACGTCACTCGAAACAGGAATATTTTCTGGTAGTTACATTCTTTAATCAACATCCTGTTCCACACTGGACCCCACATAACCAAATATATTTGAGGCTTGATAGCTCTATCAGTTCTGATTTACTGGACAATTGTTATACACCTCAGGCTCAGGTGCAAACTGTTACGGTCTCCAGGGACGAAACTTGAGGGGTGTGTGTGTGTGTGGGGGTGACATTAAAAAAGTACAAATCATCTGGATTGGCAGGGCAAATCATCTGGATTGGCAGGGCAATGAAAGATTTTAAATGATAGAATGTAGAGTTATTAAGTAGCTTTCAGAGGGAATTGAATAGAATTTATAGACCTAAATGTTACAGATATTGGTAAAAAAATAAGGGTTTCATGCATGTTTTAACAGGAATTTGTCCGAAAAAAATGTTTTGACCCTTAATTTAATTGGTTCATGTCCGGAAAAATTTTTTCGCCCCTTTTTTAAATGTCCGGAAAAAAGTTTTCGACCCCCCC